TATGTGATAATTTGACAGCTAAAGGGCTAAAGCTATTCAACTGTACCTTTATGAAAAATGCCTGGAGAATTGAATAGCATGTGATAAACTTTGTGTTAGCATTTTTGATCCAGTCTGTGAAACTGAATAACTGAAGGGATTCTATAGAAAATACTCTACAAATGCACAAAATAAAAGGAGAATGAAGTCCTTTTCATAAGGGTTCCAGCTGATCATACAGAATCATGCTCCTGCTGTAGACTATAGTTATTCTGTACTCTTTCTAAGATTTAACCCTGACAAATGGTATAGAATTATAGGCTAAGTTCTGTAGAACAACAGGTTTCATCCCTAGTACCTATGTGATGACTTTTTAGTTGTAGGTATACATGGAATTTAATTTAAGATCTATGTAAATAATTTCTACAGAATGAAGAATCACACAGATACTCAGGATTTCGGGTTTCCCCACCAGGGTAGCTTTGAATCCAGATACCCAGCTTTGACAGCCAGACCCCTAGGACAGCACGGGTTTATCACAACACCATAGACTTCTCGTATGATGGTTGGTACAAGAAACTCCTGCAAATGTTTATAAACTTTCACTGCATTTAAGAAGACAGAGCAGGAGTTACCAAGCAAAATGATTCCCCTCATGGTTACACATGGTAGCTTTTTTTAGGAGAAGTGTTTTGGGGGTTTTTTCCTCCCACACTGATTGAGTTTTACTTGATTTTGTCAGTATTAGTTCACCTTTATTTGAACTGCTGGATAATTCATTTGTAGAAGAGGCAGTACATTTAGGTACTTCCATCTGTGTTTAAACAAGGCTCTTTTGCTTTCCCCATTAAAAAAAAAAGATTTTGTATTATAATGCTTGTGGTAGATGAGGTTCTGAATTTAACTTCTTCCTACTCTAGTTTCTCTTAACAACTCTGCGTTATCAGCACCTGGGGTTTCTAGTTTACTCTCTCTTTGCAAATATGAATTTGCAAGAAGGGGTTGATGGTAAGTAGCGTGGTTCTAATTTGCACTTGTGAAGTGTCAGACAGTTTCATCTACTGCATGGCGAGCAGAGGAAAGCCTGTCTTCCTCTGAAAACAGCCCTTAGAGGATGTCAGAGAGCGTGTTTGGCTGCGATAGTCACTTGCAAATGCAATATGGTTTTGAAATGAGCTGTCCAGGAGCTGCTGGAGGAAGGGATGCCTGCACTCCTATGAATCCACTCTTTGTCTTTATCTTCCTCCTTTTTCTTTCTCCTATTTCCACTTGTTTTTGTGCTTCTGGGCTGTCACTTCGATGTGCTTTTGGAGGAGTCTACTTCATTGCGCTGGTGAAAGTTCTGTGGACTCATTTGGATGAAACATTTGTGACAGTCATCTGTTTTGCTGGGACTCTACCCAATGATATAGGTAGCCCTTTCCAGCTTTCTGTTCATTACTCCCTCTCCATCTACCTAGCATATTTATAGCCTCATCCATCCCTCCTATCCTCCTGGTGCCTTTCAGACATCTGTTGAAATCACTCTTCCCTGTGGTATCCGAGTACCCTTTTCTCATCCTTCCACACATGCCTGTCCTCAGAGCAGGAATCTTGTCCATAGTTCATGTGCGTTCACAAAGTCTTTTCTTAATCCATTAATAATCTAGAGGTTTAAGCCTGGGGTGATATTTGAGTGCATGGCTGGACATACAGAAGGCTGGGCTGTGGCCACCCTTCTCTCTCCCAGGCAAAAGGGCAGAGGATTTATGGTAATACCTCACCTGTGCCCTTGCTCAGGAGCTACAGCCCATGTTCCGCTTTGCGTCCCCGTAACTCATCAGTGCTCCAGAAGTGTTGAACTCCCTCTAACCTGTCCCATTTCTCTACTACACCGCGTCAACTACCCTTACACCTTCTTCCTCCCCCTAAAACCCAGCTTTCATCACACACTTGCCCAGTACCCTCAGAGGAATTCAGAATGAGTCACGCAGGGTGCCTCTGGGGACTCCTACTGATGCAAACTTCCTCCTCCTCAAGGCAGCCTGTGGTTTGAATGCCACAATGCAGCCGGTACTTGTTAGCTTGAGCCTTTGCTGTGAAGTGCACGGCAGAGCTGGGTCTCTGGCACAGGCGCCCCCAGCTTGCTGCCCTCCTTCACTGGGCTCCGGTGCAGGAGGGGAGACATCCTCTTTGCAGTGTCAAACGTGGGAGCTGCTCAGAGCCTTTCAGAGTGCCAGTCAATAGGCAGTGAAGGGTTTTTTGGAGGAAGGGGTTATTATTTGTTCTTAAGGTGTATTCCAGTCCGGATAGGAGACTGGCATCAACGCATTAAGTGAAGTATTATGTGGATGTTTATATGTAAGATTAAAGTCCCCCGGTTCTTGGGATGGAATAGACTTCTATCGCAAGAGCTTTACTAGTGGTCTGTCATCACCTGCTTCCAGAGTCTGCATTCAGAAACACAAGATGTGATGAATAGGGCTCATTTATGCTGTTTTGGTTTGGGCTTTCCCCCTCGCCCCGGTAGGCCATTGTCTTTAAAACATTATCTACCTTCTCCCTCTTCACATGGAAAAAAGAAAATGCTTTTCTGGTGGTAATTACACAGTGCCGTGTTGTGGACCTTTCATCCCATTACAGTAAGTGGACAAACTACTGTCATTTACAAGAATGAAATAGGTGAGGAAATGGGAAAGTTTCTAGCATTCCCTAGCAAAAATGCCAAGCTGACATGGGAGACAAATTCCAACAAAAAGCAAATTTTCTTGCTAGCAATGAGCACTGCTGCAGTTGTGCTCTGAAGCAGGGATGGCGGAGTGCTTGCTCCTCATCAGGTGTTTCAGAAATAGAAGAATCAGGCAATATTAATGGAGGGCTACAGACCCTTAACCTGTCTCTGCCCTTGCAGTTCAACTGAGACACGCTTCAGCTCTTCCTTGCTCTCAGTTTCAAAATCTCTTCAGTCTGTCTATGTCTTGTCATGGATCTGTTGGCAAGATCAGAGTTTGAATACATTGAGATGTTTTTTCTCCAGCAGAAATCTACTGCTTTATTATTCTCTACCTCTGCATACACACCTTTTACATCTCTCAAAACAGATTGATGCTCTTATTTGCCTGTTTTTTTGCTCATTTATAGTGATTCCTCATGGGAGGTTTACTCTCATGGGAGGTTTGCCCTGAAGGTGTGATTGCAGGAGTAAGGTCTTTACCAGTGCATCAGCAAAACTGTATTTGCACATCACTAGGGAAGAGCTACCAGTTGGGTAGCAGAGCTTCCTTATTCCTTTGGTAGACTTGCTTGTGGCCTGTGGACTAGAATTTTAGTGGCTTATTCTTATCTCCCTTTTCTTCATATGTGGTGGTTGCCAAATTGGGGGTGGGGGGTATGTCTGCCTTTCTCCCACCTTAAGATGGGAGGTGAGTCTGGTACCCTTGGAGGCCCAGGGAAATGAGTGTTTGAAGTTCCTCTCCAGCCACTGGCCTGGGTTGGTTTGGCAGCAATTTATTGCCGCCACCTGCTGACCAGGCAGAGGATTTCTCTAGCCCGGGTAGAGCTTGCGCATGGGGTGTTCCAGTGAGGCCCCATCGCTCTCTCCCCTGGCCTGTGGTCACAGCAAGAGCATGATGGGGCAGTAGGTAGAGGCCAGGGTGCCTGCATAAAGAAGGAACACCTGGGGACAAATACAAGAACCAGTCATTTAGGGAAATGTGGCACATGCCTTAGCGTGAACACAACCATCGGTGAGGGCTGAGCTGGTCTGACTTTGGGCTGCTGTGAACTTGTAGGTTATCAAGTGGATCACAAGTGAGATCAAGCCTGGTGCAGGAAGCTTGGATGAGATACAACCTCATATAACTATCGTATTAAGTGCAACAGCAAAAAAATACTGTCAAACTGCATGTCTTCATTTTAATGTTTCTCTGTACAGGAAGGCATAAAATTCAGGTACTCTTTCACAATAAAGGAAAATAAAGAGAGGCAAGAAATTTTGCCTAATCCTGAACTCCAGAAATTCGAGTTTGCTCTTCTTTGATTTATTGAAAAGACTTAATGGTGATCTTCAGAAACTATTTCACATTGTTAGCTCTTTAACAAAGACGTCCTTTCACATCGATGTTTTTAGACGTGGGCTTTAAATAAGAGGTAAGCCAAACAAGTACATTAGACAGAAGGATGTACGATGCCTATTAGGACAGTGTCACTGCACTGTATCTTCATTTGGTGGCCAAATCGCAGGAAGCGGCAGCACTTGCTGTGAACCTCTTCCCTGGCTGCCCAAGCGCTGCTGTGCCCGGGGCACGGGTGCGGGGTTACATGGCTCCGTGGCGGGAGCTGACTTCTGAAGCTCTCAGGAATCCTGGCCCACTTCCCGCCCTTTAATGAGCCATGTGTAACATTTGCCTTCTCTGGGGTCACTCCAGGCTTTCAACCAGCAGTGCTTAGGAGCAGGGACAGGGACAGGGACACCTCCATATTTTGCTTTGATCAAAGTTAATTCTTATGGCTTGGGAGCTGCTTTTAGGCCATCCCATTCTGCTGCCTCCTGCGTTGTTAAAGGAGCTCCCGTATTGGGGGTAGTACCCTACAAGCGCTCCAGGGACCCAAGGAATTTCATGTCTCCGTAGAGACTGTAATCTCATTTTCTCTCTTTTTCAAAACACTCATTTTCACAGGGATGCATGGGTTTTCCCCTTATTATTCTCCAGCGAGTCTCCCTTTTTCTTGCATTTATCGCTTTTTAGTTTGTTTGTTTGTTTTGAGGCGGAGGAGAAAACTCCAAGGAGAGACGAAACCGCGTGCACGGCAGTTCTGCTCGGCTGCCACGGTGCCGTCCCTGTTCTGTCAGAGCAGGGAAAGGTTGCTATTACCATTTTATACCATGTGGTCTCAGGTACATTCCTGCTTTCCTAAGCAGTTTGAGTTGCTGCGCAGATGTTACTGTAAAACCCTCATTTCCACTTAACCCCTCGCTGCTCAACCTGATGCCCAAGCGGTCCCTCCCACTGACACTGCGGCTCTCTCTCCTTGCTCCCTAGGGCTCCGGGACCTCGAGCAGCTCCGCCGCCACCACCCCATCCGTGTCCACCCCCGTAACCGGCCACAAGCGGATGATCATCCCCAACCAGCCTCCCCTCACCGCCACCAAGAAGTCTACCGCTAAGGGCCCGGGGCAGCCGGCGCCCATCCCGGTTACTCCCGTCGGCACCCTGAAGCCGCA